TTGTTGTTGTTGTTGTTGTCAATATGGGTACTGCAAAATGAAAGAGACAGAAGTTGTGAGTTCCCCTTGCCTTCCAGGAGAAAGGTGTATAAAGGGCAAGGAAAGGACATCAGGATTTTCTCTCTAAATGTAGATTTCAGGACTCCCCAAACCAGCACTCTCTTAAGCCCACGGATAAAGCAGGTCACTGAATCCTTCCTGGTCCTCTCTGTCTGGGTAGGCTCGCTTCAGCCCTGCCTGTCTTCAAGAAGGCTAGAACAGAGGGAAGGAACCAGTGTGTGCAAAGCACCTTTCAGAAATCTTGCTTCCCTAAGAGCAGAACCTTCAGCTGCCCCTGAGTTCAGGCTAGATCCACCAATTTTAGGCATTATTGCTATAAGGGACAAAATACAGAAGTGACTGCGACACTGGGCAATGGAGAGCAAGTCCTGCAACACATGAGGGATTGCTGCTTCACTGAAGGTAAAGTTTCCAACCTGGGCCAATTTTCCACTCACTCTGTCTGAGATCATATTGCCAGACTTTAAAAAATAATCAGGGGTTGCCATCACCAGATCCGGAGCCGTCCCCCACCCCTACCCCAGCACAATGCCATCGGAAAAGACCTTCAAGCAGCGCCACACCTTCGAACAAAGAGTAGAAGACGTCGGGCTCATTCGAGAGCAGCATCCCACCAAGCTCCGGGTGATCATAGAGCAATACAAGGGCGAGAAGCAGCTGCATGTCCTGAACAAAACAAAGTTCCTGGTCCCCGACCACGTCAACATGAGCAAGCTCATCAGGATCTTCAGGCAGCGCCTACAGTTCAACACCAACCAGGCCTTCTTCCTGCTGGTTGGCTACAGCATGATGAGCGTGTCTTCGCCCATCTCGGAGGTGTACGAGAACGAGAAGGACGAGGATGGCTTCCTTTACACTGTGTGCGCCTCCCAGGAGACCTTTGGGCGGGAGCTGACCCTGCACCTAGAAGAGCGCGTGGAGGTCCCTGAGCCCTTGCCAAGGAGAAAAGGGGGTGTTACAACCGAGAAGGCTCAGCTTGCGTAGGCAGGTCGTCAGGACAGTCTTGTTCCCACCAAGGAGCCTGAGGAAGTTGTTTTTGTATTTTATGCAGAAAAACTGAGTTCCATTGAGCACACTTAGCTTTGGAAAGCTCTATTGTTTAACCTCAGCTACTTTGCTTTCAAAGTTTACAAGTTTAAAACTTCCTTTAAAAAAAAAAATCAGGGCTGGGCATAGTGGCACACACCTGTAATTCCAGCATTTGGGAAGCTGAGGCCGGAAGATCGTTATAAACTCAAGGCCAGCCTGGGCTACAAAATGAGCTGAAGGACAGCCTGCACTGCACAGCAAGACTCTGTCTCAAAAAGACAATAAGCAAATAAATATATAAATGGTAAAAAAATCAAGATTGCATATAATCCCCAACAGTATCAAGAAATGAGCAAATAAACCTAGATTTGGAGTTTGTCATAGTTGTTTTTGCTGTAGTTTAATTTTTGTTTTAGACCTTGTGCCCATGTACTCATTAACACCAGCTGCACCTCTGGGCTTGACAATCCTGACTTCTCAGACCAATTCAGTTTTATGATAGAGGGAGGAACCAGAAGTAGACTTTAGAGTAGGAATCTATAGGCCTTGTGCACAGTAATTCTGTACATAGCATCGGAGCATTTCCTCAAGAGGGGCGCATGTTTTGCCCAACTCTCAAAGAGATCAGAGGCCTCAAAAGAGATGAAAATGAAGCAGAAGGATCATAAGTTCAGGGCCAGCCTGGGCTCCATGGTGAGACCTGTCTCAACAATACGGAGATAGAGGATAGATAGATAGATAGATAGATAGATAGATAGGTAGATAATAGACAGATAAACAGGTAGATAACAGATAAAGAGAGAACAAGAGCTGCATTCCTAGAGCATTCTAGTTGAGAAAGACATTTGTGGGAAGTAGTTCAATCTCCTACTTTACAAATGAAGGAGCTGTGGTCCACAAAGATAGAATTGCTTTCTAGGAGCCACACAGCTCATGAGTGGCTAGAACCTCACTTCTTTGCCTCTCATGCTGTCAAGAGATGTTTGACAGGGCTGGTGAGATAGCTCAGCAGACTAAGCGCTTGCTGAGGCAAGTGCAGGGACTGGTTTGATTGCTGGCACCACACGCTGCACCAGCCCTGCTCCTGGAGTGCGCTGAGCCAGTGACCGAGTCCAGGCGTGGTGGTGCGCGCCTATAATCCCAGCACTGGGGAAGCTGAAAACAGGAGGATCATTACAAGTTTGAGCTGTATAGTGAAACCCTGCCCAAAAAACAAAAAAAGAGAGAGAGGGAGAAGGAGAAGGAGAGGGAGAGGGAGAGGGAGAGGTTTGAAGAAAGGAGCAGGTATATTCTTTATTGAAAAGGGCCCCCATTCCTTATGGAAAAATATCATTTCTAGGACAGTGATATTCAACAGAAATATACCAAGCCTCATGTGTTATTTAAAAGTTAATAGTTACATCACAAAATTAAAAGAAGCAGGTGCAATTAATTTTAAAATACATTTTAGCAAACCCAATATATCTACAATATCATTTGAATATGTAACCAGTATAAAAAAAAAAAAAAAAAAAAAAGGGAGGGGCCAGGGAGATGGCTCAGTAGAATAAGC